TGCCGTGGTACAATTCTGAAAAACGCCGGGCTAATCGATTTTTTTGTAAATACAACAATATCTGTTCTGTTCTTACCAAGCTGGCGCGCCATCTGCCGACAAGTCGGTTTAGAGTAGCCAACCAAATCAGACGATCTCGATAGTTTTTCATGCTATTTAACTGAATTTTCTTCAAAGACAGCAAGCGAAAAAGTCAATTTGGACATGCTTCAACGTGCAAATTCCGATTTTACTTTCATGGAACGCAACGAAGACCAAAAGTCGAGTCGAAACCATAAAAACCACGATACAGTTATATTTAGTAAACATTGCTAGCATCAATGTTCTCAAAAGTTGATTGCAAAGCTGAATTATTGTCCAAGAACAAATATTTCCAATGCATACCATTTTTACGAAAATTTATTGAACACATAGTGGTGCATTTTATGCATTCGCAATCCTCTCACCCATACACCATTTATTTAATACGCCCATTCAAGTCACATTCGCATACAATAAATGTTCACTTCTAATTTCTTTATTTTCTGTCGCCTTGCATTTTATTGCACAACTTGCATGTGTGTATGTATGTGCATCGCAACTCGAAAGCTGTGACATGTATGTAGATACGTGAGCTTGAATGGATTTGCGGGCGTGTGCTGGCTGGCAACGAATGTGCCCCTCGACAGTGGCATTGTGTGACAGGAAGTGGCATTGAAATTAAACTTTTTCGTAAAGGACACTTATTTACAATCTTCTCACTTCACCCATATCGCAGCAAGATTTTCACATCCTTATACAACAGACAGAAGTAAATACTATACACATATATACATACATACAAGCATACAGAACATACATATGTATGCTTCTCTTCTACAACACTAAATTGCATCATTACAACAATCGTATTTCTTCACATTGTCCATTTCACACATAAACTGACACTTATGTGACTACATATTTATACAGTGACTCAAACAGATGACCACGTGTTGTTTTTTTTTAAATACTCGTAATATTTTTCCAGCTAAATTTTTTTTGTTATATTCATTAAAAATATCTTTTAAGCTTTAACCAAAACCCTGTAAATCACAGATTTAAAATTTATACAAAATTTAGGAAATTTCGCCAAATTTTCGGGTTTTTTAATATAACAAGCGCAATTTACAAAAACTTGCGTTGATATTTTGAAATTTTGTTGCTGACGGTCTCTCGCATTTTATTTCATAAGAAATTTATACTTATATGAAAATATAATATATAGTTTAAAAAACTACAACCTCGCTATTAAAACTTCCATTCGCACTATCATCAGGTTACTTTAAGAATTGAAATTTAAAGCAATTCCCATTCGCACTGTCATCAGGTATGTAATTTGAGAATGGAAAACGCTGCTTCTTTTAGGCGCATCAATATTACATAGTTACATACCGAGCTAATATAAGCGAGGTAAAAAATGCAAAAATCCCACAATAAAAAAATTCTCAAAAATCAACGCGATTTTTTAGCCGTTTGAAACTTGGACTTCATTAGACTAAAACTATATGGGCTAAAAAACTGCATACCCAAAAATTTTCTAAAAATTCAGAATAAAAAATTGAAAATTTTTTGAATTTTGTATTGAGTTTGAAACTGAGATTTACACGGTTTTCGTTAAAGCTTAGACAATATTTTTATAAAAAAAAAAATTAGCTGGGAAAACATTACGAATATTTGAAGAAAATCAACACGTGGTCATTTGTTTGAGTCACTGTATGTATGTATGTTCATTAGAGTATACCGAAAAAAGTTCGCCATACACTCCTGAGTCTAAAGTATTTGTGCAAGGCAATATCGATTTTTTTTCGATCCGAACTTAGGGATCTTGTTTTTTTATTTTTTGTCATATCTTCGGCATTTACAATCGGATATGAAGACTTGATAGGTGGCACAGGAGTGGAGATATTTGAAAATCCCGTATTTATATCCGATTTGGTTCATATTTAGAACGTATATTAACTACATGAAAATATGAAATGAACATACTAAAAATTTAGCCATTAGGTGGCGCTCGAGTCTGGTAAACCAGTATTTATGGTCCGATGTCGTTCATATTTAAAAAGCTTGATTCAAAAATATTTGTTTTTACAATTAACTTATTTTAATTGCTTGTAAGGTGATACGGTCTAATGCACATACATATATACACACATATGTATGTACAGTGCGCTGTTGTATTGTTTCGGTCGTCTTTCATTGTTCTTACATACATACATATGTTCGTATGTCAAAGTAAATCTGTATTGTTCCCATACTTTTGGCTCACATATGTATCCGCATTGCATCTCTGCTCGTCCTTAATAGTTGGCAATTTAAGTTCGACCTGTGGCAGTGGTTTTAGTGGTATTTTGTTGGCAAAAGTAATGCCCACATGACTTTTTAATTAAGCCAATTGACAGCGAAAGCTCACTACACTACTGGGTATTACATAAGCTGAATCATTGGCTGTGGTAGTGGCAGCATATGCGAGTATAAAATGCGAACAATTTTCAATTTAAAAGAAATTAAATTCTTTGCAGACTACAGGAAAGAGGAATTAAATATTGAAAAAAGCGATGGGAATTCCTAAAATTACGAAACCCTAATTTACTAAGAAACGTAAGAACAGATTACATAACTTTTAGAATCTCATGCCCCTTATTCTACGCTAAATCAGTTAGAAAGCCGTCCATGACAGTAGAAATGAAAAATGTCACCTTAAAGTGAGATAGTTACCAAATGAGTAGCTTCTACTAGCAAATAAAAAGCTGATCGGAATGAACAGGATTACGCCGGAAAAATCCAGAAAAAGGTGGATGTGGGGAGTCATTGTTCTTCTGCAAAATGTCAAGACTCTTGTACGAATCTGAATAGTTTGTTTTGTGCAGCGATGCGGTACACGTATTATAAAGTTGCTCTGTACTATCCTCATACTCCAAAAATGTTAAACACAGTATATATGCATTTCCCAAGCTGCAACTATTAAAAACTCCATTCTAGTCCTGTAACATAGCCATAGCGGATCTGACTTCGACTCTGCAGTCAATTCTACCATAGGATGGACGGTTGGTTAGTAAAAGCATCGCCTGAGCGCTGAGAGCACCGATACGCTTCCCTGGGCAATTCTGGTTAAGAGTTTTAAGTCTTTTATAAAACAATTGAAAGACAGTAGGAAAGATAGTTTGAAAGGCCAACTTTCATGGTGAAAAGCTCTTTTGACTAAAGCACTTGAGCGTGTTCGAAATAGAGATGTAAGTACTGTGAGCAATATACACCTTGTTCTAATATACAAATATTCACAATTATTTAAATGAACAATTTTTTGCGTTAATTATTTATGATTAGACGGCGGATTTTTATGCAGAAAATGAAGCCTAAAAATATTTAGTACTTAACTATAAGAAAAATAAATAAATTTGTATACATTTTGTCTATAGTTATGGCGTACATATTTTGAGGCTTCGTTTTCTGCATAAACATCCGCAGTGTATTTATTACAAGTAATTTTTAAGCAAAAACAAAACCGACTTCAATTGTCATATAAAAATTTAAGATTACCGTTAATTTCTTGATGATCCAATGATCGGCACCACTTCTGAGGCACCAGCTGTCCTATAAAAAAATCGGTCAACCAGTCCAAAGTTATGATAACATTCATAAAAAATATTTACATATATATTCCGACGAATTGATAACCTCCTCCTTTTTTTTAAAGTAGGTTAAAAATATAGTTTATTCTATAATATAAACTATATAAATCAAAGTTTCATACCTCATATAAAGCTCAGAAAGATTAAAAAATTTATCATCAAAATTTCCGAATTTTTATACAGAATTTCTAGAAAATTTTCGAGTGCGCTGTTTTGTAGCTCATTAAATTTTGGTACAAAAAAGTGCAAGTCGCTAAAAATTACCGTTCATTTTTTAGATTTTTTTTGCGGACGGTGCAGTGCGTTTTCTTACATATAACGTATGTTCAAAACCTATTTTTATATGGAAGAAAATGCAAATGGGAGAGATTTCTTGTTAAAAAAAAAAATCTCAAATTCCATATAAAATTTGGGATTTCATAGCGGCCCAAGACATGGGCGTGGCTACTCAAAGTTCCGCACAGATACTTCTAGAATGAAGATAACAAGACTAGAAGTAAAAACTGGAGAAAATGCGGAATCATAAGGGTTAATATTTAACATACATTTCTATTAATTTTTAGATTTTATTGTAAAAAAATATAAATATTTTTTAAATTAAATTTTGAGGAATTTTTTTCTTTATTTTTATAAATTTTTGAATTTTATTTTAAAATTATTATTTTTTTATTGCGGCGGTCGCTGGCGTGGTTAGCAGTGGGCGCTAGCTTTCCGCAGAGCCTGGGTTCAACTTAACATCAAAAAAAGTTTTTCGGCAGGAAATGGCAAACCTCCGAGTGTATTTCTGCCATGAAAAACAGCTTCTCATAAAAATATAATCGCCCTTCGGAATCGGCATCAAACTGCAGGTCCCTTTCGCTTTTAGTGACAACATCAAGAGGCACGCCACAAATCGGAGGAGAAGCTCGGCCAAACACTAACATCCAATCTATTATTATTATTAATTTCCTCAATTTTATTTTATATATTTTTACTTTTTTCATTTATTTATTTTTTCTTATTTAATCCAGTTTTCTTGTAATTTGTGTTATTTAATTTAATTTTTAGAAAACATAAGACCTCCTGGTTAGCAAATAATTGAATTAGCCATTAAAAAAGAGCTTTACAGATAGTTGCCAGAATTAACAATTGCTTTACGTAAGAATTTTATCCTTCGAAAGACTGTTGTGAGTTGAAAGACAGTTCTTTTGACCTCTTTAAGAGTTCCTCTGTTCTCGGTTTGAATGGACTCCTTTCGACATGATAGCAATTTTTAATTTCGATGATTATTTATTATTTATTTTTTATTGATGGCAACGATATGTAAATTACGATGTATGTAAATCCAATATGCAAATAATTTCAACGTACCTTGTCAAATGCCGACTACCCTCGTGCACTGCCATTTCCGACGATTTGAATTCATTTAATTCCTTACGTATGGCAGCCTTATCTTTCGGCGTCAGTCTTGTCCATGGCTTGTCCGCACGCCGATCGTAGTCGTGCGCCTGTGTCACCTCAATATAATCGTTGAAACGTATAATTTTCTTCTCTTTCAGCTCCTCGACGGTGGGTCGGAAACTCAATTTTCGCAGCAAATAAGATTTCTTCTCCTCCTTTTGTTTCTTCTCTTCGGCGGGTGATTGTGCTGAACCAATAAGAAATAAGCGATAATTATATAAATTCATACAATTAAGCCAATGTTATATACATATATTATGGCAGAAATAATGCAGTAGCGTAAAACATGGGAGTAATTATTTGTTTCGCTGCAGTACTTACTCTTTAATATATTGCGCTCTACCAGCTCTTCAGCTGTGGGCCGCATCGACAGTCGACGTATGAGTCGTGCGCCAATGGCCTCCTTTGACTCCTTCAACTCATTATCGGTAACCTGATGCAGAATATTGCGATTGATTAAATCCTGCTTATCGGGTCGCAATTGCAACTTCAGCGATAGTGACTCCTTGCGCGCAATTTTCGCTTGTCGGTCATTCTCATCGTCGCGATAGAGTATGCGCCCGTCACCCTCATCGCTGTCGCTGCTGCTCTCGCGTATCACAAACGGCCGTGTGTTCTCCTTATTCTCGACGGTGCAGGGCAGATTGATGTTGAACACTTGCTGCCTGCTGCGTAAAGTGAAGGCCACAAAAACGTGGCGCAGCGGTTGACGGATTGTGTGATGAGGATGCGTCGTCGATGTGTGCGGCAGGAGCATTGTGTTTGTTGTTTTTATTTTTGTAATAAGTGTTTAATTATTTTTGGAAATAAAAAAGAGAGAAAATTGTATATAAAAAAGATAAGTTAATATTTTTGGTTTACATATTTGATTAAATTGAAATGCGGTTTTCATTTTTAGATTTGTGTTTAAAATTAATATGTCTCATATATGTATGTATGACGTGGCTGTGTGTGTGTGTGGTACAAAAGCATACACATTTGAACAGCACAATGCATCTTACGTAATACCTACAAGCTTATATATGTATGTATGTATGTGTGTACACTAGGGTGGTCCATAAAGAAGTAAAGTCGAAATTTTAATGCTCTGGTTTTTTTATATTTTGAAATCCAAAAATATTTAGAGGTCGCTCAAAGCACTCAAAGTTTCCATGTATTTTATATGGAAAAAAACAAGTTTTCGTAGAGATGGTATATAATTCTGGAAAATCTATATTTTTCGATCGCAAAAATTTGTTTCTATTCAGGAGACCTCCGATAACAATATTCGATTGCTCATTTAACCAGTTTCTATTATTATTATTATTTTTTATATATATTTTTTTATATGGCCCATATTAAAAGATGGTATAATAAACATTTGGATATTATTGGCAGTCTTTTGAAAAGAAACAAAGTTTTCCGTTCGAAAAATTTTGATTTTCAAGAGTTCTATAACATTTCTACGAAAACTTGTTTTTCCCATATAAAATACATGAAAAACTTTGACCGCTTTGAGCTACCTTTACAAATATTTTTCATTCAAATAAAAAAAAAATAAATAAAAAAACAGGGGCAAAATTTTTTTCGAAATAGAACAATCCCAGGGGTTACAGCATTTGAATTCCGAAATTCCGACTTCACTATCTCACATGCATTTTCGGACCACCCTAATGCACACATATGGATGTGATTGACATGCATCTGGTCTTTTGGGTGAAACAGTTATAGTGTTTGTAGGTAACCAAATGAACATACGAAATTACAAAATTGACTAAAAACATGCAACAGAAATAAAGTTATCAAAAAAAGTATTGAAAAGTTGGCTAGTTGATTTCGTGATAAACACAAAAAGGTTTGGTTGGCCAAAAATAGCAATTAAAAATGGCTACTATAATTTTGGGTAAGCAACTATCTTGCTTAAAATAAATGCTCAAGTAGCACAATGGGGTATAACTTGGTGTAAATTTGTGAATTTTGATACAATTAATCAGAGCGCTTTTTATTTTCTAAAATTAAATGATTCGAGGCAATACTTCAATAATATTTATTCAAACACTAATATGCTCTCATTCGCTTTGTTGAATGCTTGAAATTCCTGCGGGTTACATTAGGTGTAATTTTGTTTCAATAAAAGTCAACTTACTTAGTTAGGCTCCAGCTAAAAAAGCTTAGCAGATTTTCACTTTTTGCCCTTTTAACTCTTCAAAATATTTACAAACTAAACGATTCTTAAATCTCTTTCGCCTAACTCCCATATTGTGATAGATATTTCAATTACATACCTAGTTCCTTCAATTCAAATTGAATTTGATGATTTTTAAACAGGTGGCAACCCTCTCACATGTAGTTTGGAAATAAAGCCTTTTTTAAACCGCATATTTTCAAATTCACATATCGTCATTAGGCTAATCTATCACTCTTGTCAGTAGGTGCGACCCTTAATATTCTTTATAAAATCTCTCATTATACTCCTGCAAATGTATTATTTATGGCGGAGTAGTATGAACAATGAAAGTGTGCGATGAGGCGGCCAGATACTGCGGTTACACTGGCTATCTCTCTATACAATGAAGGATCCAAGATGGATCGCGGTGTTGCCCTGCCTGTACGATTGGAGAAGGATACAAGCATCTTCAAAGCAGAACTTCTAAGTATCCTCGAAGCCTGTATCTGAATCTTAGGCAATACAGTCGGGTATAAGAGTAAAATAACAATATATTCTGACAGCCAGGAGGCGCTAATGGCGATAACATCACCGGTTACCAAAGCCAAGCTAGCTAGGGATATCAAAATGGTACTGTGCTCAGAGTATCAGTCAACTACAGTATCGCTTGTCTTGTATGGGTGTCCCGGATATAGAAACATAGATGAAAATGAGAAGGTTGATGAATTAGCGAAAACAGGAGCCACTTTGGATGTATCCGAAGCAGTGACACTGGGTTGCCCTCTTGGCATAGTCCAAAGAGCGATTAAGTATTTTGCATTTCTTTGAACTGACTAGACACAGGTGGTCAGATATACAGACCTGTGGTATATCGAGAAAACTATGGCCTGACTACAACAGGACGAAGGCCATGGACCTCCAGAGGTGTTTAAATAAACATGCGTAAAAATAGGAGTACCCTATAATAAGATTTACCGCAGCTGTCAGCTAGAAGATAGCGAAGGAAACATAAAATACTTATTAGGCAAATACCTAGTAAGAAAACTAACCGATTTATAAGGAGAATCCAAATTGTTCGACCAAACAAAATAGGATGTATACACAGACAAAATATTCCCCGTGAGGAGTGCATAAAAATGGCGTAAAAACACGTAAATTGAATACTGCGACTAGGAAGCAGCAACCAACCAACACTGTCTAAGTCAAGTCGTGCGAATGGATGCTTATTATGGTAGAGGAAGAAAAAGGCATCGACCGCGTTGGAAATACTAGGTGGAGCGCAGTTTATTTCTTTATAATAGGTCTTGTTTTTCGTTTGTGTCGGTTAACCAGAAGAAGGAATGACTTTTGAATGTTGACCATACGATGTTTTTTTTTTTGATTTTTATTTTTAATATTTTTTTTATAAAAATATAGTTTATTCTTTAACAAAACCGTGTAAATACAAGCTTCTAACTTTGTGCAATATTTCAAAACAATTCAACAAACTTTGGTTAAAATGTGTAGCTTTTTGAATTACCGCAAAGAAATTGAGTTGATCATCAGTTGGAAGCTGCAGAAACGCAACTAAATCGAAACATTTTTGCCACGAATTATTACGGGCGATGGAAAATGGATTGCGTACGAGAGTTAGCAATGCAAGCGATCATGGTGAATTACCAACGACTTCAATGCCTAGATTGACGGCAAGGAAGGTTATGTTAAGTGTCTGGTAGAATTTAGAACGAAATCGTCGATTATGAACAACTACAACATGGTGAAACCATCAACACGGCCTTCTACTGGGCACAATTCGACCGTTTGAACGGAACTTGGTTGGGAAGTGTTAATGCATGCACCGTATAGCTCGGACCTTTCACCTTTCAAATATACCAAAAAAACAGCGGAGTCTTTTTATATGACCCAATATTTTGCGTTGAATTCCTTACGAGTACTCGTAACATCGAAGTTAAATAACAAATGCAAGGAATTAGAACTTAGTCAGCAGTGCGGAAATGAATATGTCAGCACATTATAAAACGGCGTTGCGCTGGCGAGGGTGGAATGGGGGTACCGAAATTGCGCATAAGGAAACTGTGCATTTAGACATTATTTCGGTTTCAACCGAAACTGTGCATGTATGCTTTATTTCGGTTTTTACCATATGCATTATTTCGGTTTTAAACCGAAACTGTGCATGTATGCATTACTTCGTTTTTTTTCATATGCATTATTTCGCTTTTAAAACGAAAGTATGCATATGCATAATTTCGGTATTTTCTCATATGCATTATTTCGGTTTTCAACCGAAACTGTGCATGTATGCATTACTTCGGGTTTTTCATATGCATTATTTCGGTTTTCAACCGAAACTGTGCATGTATGCATTACTTCGGGTTTTTTCATATGCATTATTTCGGTTTTCAACCGAAACTGTGCATGCATGCATTATTTCGGTTTTTGTTATATGCATTATTTCGGTTTTCAACCGAAACTGTGCATGTATGCATACCTTCGTCTTTCACATATGCATTATTTCGGTTTTCATCCGAAACTGTGCATGTATGCTTTATTTCGGTTTTTGCCATATGCATTATTTCGGTTTTGAACTGAAATTGTGCATGCATGCATTATTTCGGTTTTTGTTATATGCATTATTTCGGTTTTCTAACGAAAGTGTGCATATGGATAATTTCGTTTTTTCTAATATGAATTATTTACTTCTACTTAGTAAGGGTTTTAATCCCTAAGCGCGGCTGAAAGCCGCCTACGCAGAGAAAAGTTCTGCGCAAAAATACGTCCGCCCTTCTTTTCCGGCAATACAGAAAGGAGAATTCTACTTAGTAAGGGTTACAATCCCTAAGAGCGGCCGAAGGCCGCCTACGCAGAGAGAAGTTCTGCGCAAAAATACTTCCGGCCCCCTTTTCCGGCAACACAGAAAGGAAAATTCTACTTAGTAAGGGTTATAATCCCTAAGTGCGGCCGAAGGCCGCCTACGCAGAAAGAAGTTCTGCGCAAAAATACTTCCGGCCCCCTTTTGCGGCAACACAGAAAGGAGAATTCTACTTAGTAAGGGTTATAATCCCTAAGCGCGGCCGAAGGCCGCCTACGCAGAAAGAAGTTCTGCGCAAAAATACTTCCGGCCCCCTTTTCCGGCAACACAGAAAGGAGAATTCTACTTAGTAAGGGTTATAATCCCTAAGTGCGGCCGAAGGCCGCCTACGCAGAAAGAAGTTCTGCGCAAAAATACTTCCGGTCCCCTTTTGCGCAACACAGAAAGGAGAATTCTACTTAGTAAGGGTTATAATCCCTAAGCGCGGCCGAAACCCGCCTACGCAGAAAGAAGTTCTGCGCAAAAATACTTCCGGTCCCCTTTTCCGGCAACACAGAAAGGAGAATTCTACTTAGTAAGGGTTATAATCCCTAAGCGCGGCCGAAGGCCGCCTACTCAGAAAGAAGTTCGTTTTCATGTATGCACTATTTCGGTTTTTGTCATATGCATTACATCGGTTTTGAGTCGAAACTGTGCATGTATGCATTACT